AAAAAAAAAAAAAAAAAAAAAAAAGTTTAGGGGTTTATAAAAATAAAAAAAATAATAAATATATTAATAATAATACCAATAAGATGATTTTAATAAATATAAAAATAAAAATAAAAATAAAAAAAATAAAAATAAAAATAAAAATAAAAAAAATAAAATAAAGGAATAATGTTAACAACAGAAGTAATGCTAATAATAGAGGAATTGAAAATAATAAAAAAATAATAAAAGTAATAATAAAGACACCAATAAAAATAAAAATAAAAATAAAAATAAAAACAAAAATAAAAATAAAAAAAAAAATAATAGTGATAATAATAAATAAAAGGAGGAGGTCTGCTCTAGGGTTTAGGGTTTAGGGTTTAGGGTTTAGGGTTTAGGGTTTGGGTTGTTTCCAGTATTTGTTTGCTGCTGAGCTCGATGGCTAGCTGCTGCTGCAACACCTCAGCTGTATCCTTTCTAAACCCTAAACCCTAAACCCTAAACCCTAAACACTAAACCCTAAACCCTAAACCCTAAACCCTAAACCCTAAACCCTAATATCAGTTTATCTCCATGTTTTTGTGCAGCTCAGATGAGGGAGTGTGGGGGCTGTAGAGGAGATTAAACACTCCTAAACCCTAAACCCTAAACCCTAAACCCTAGGGTTAAACCCTCAACCATAGACCTAAACCCTAAACGATAAGACATAAACCCTTATCCTATACCCTAAACCACAACACTAAACCCTAAACCCTAAACCCTAAGCAATAAATCCTAAACGTAGAATTATTATTTTGAGGGTTTAGGGTTTAGGGTTTAGGGTTTAGGGTTTAGGGTTACTGTGTAACCCCAATAACATCGAGGCCTCTTGCTATACTAAAGCCCCAGCACAGAGGGGTAGTCTCTGGTGTCTGAATGTGTGTACAAAGATGCAGAAAAAAATAAATAATAAAGAATAAATAAGGGTTTAGGGTTTAGGGTTTAGGGTTTAGGGTTTAGGGTTACAGTGCTCGAGGTGCCCATACACCCGGGCGAGACAGGCTGCAGCGCCCCAGCAGAAAACTAGCGTAGGAGGAGACAAAAAAGAATTGATTTAACTTATTTAAATTAAAAAATAATTATTTTAATTATAAAATAACAAAATAAAAAAAATAAAATAAAAAAGAATGAAGATACTGAGGCGATACAAAAACTAAACTGCCCCCTCAGGGGTGTATACAACAGAGGGGGGGGGGTCTAGCGCGGGGGATAAGAGCTAGAAACTTTAATTAAAATAAAAATAAAAATATTAATTAAAAAATAATTTATTTTATTTAAATTAAAATGAATTTATACGCAAGAGAAACGGCTAA